TTGCTGCCTAATATATCCCACCCACTGACAGGTGCCATGATAACCAGATAATCAGTGTTATTAACTTCACCTGTCAGTGCTCATAATGTTGTGTCTGATCGGTCTAATTCCTGCATTCAAAAGTTTAAATTAAGTGCAAGTAAAGAAAAAGTCAAGAATTGGGAGCAAATTTTTCACATATAACAGTGAAGTGAAATATTAGTGATTTGAAGATATTATCCATTTATACTGATTCAATACATTATTTTAGTTCTGTGTCCAACTATCAAGAGTGAATAAAGATTAATCTCCCCCCCCCCCAGCTTCAGAATAATACTTAAGGGTTCAAATAACTCAATTTTACGTTTTCATTTTATGTTTTCAATACAATTATGAGTCTGACACCTGATTCCTACCTTGCAGTCAGTTGCAGCCTCAGTCAGGAGGTAAACCCTGTGTCCTGCATGGCTCACAGCTGCACACTGTTTACATAAAGGCTCCAGGTCATCCAAACAGAACGTAGACAGGCTCTCTCCATGTTCCTCACACTGCTCTGGAGAGTCAACTGACCAGGGAGGCGAGGCGAGGCCCTCTGCCTCTGCTCCAGTAAGGCAGACAGGGAGAAAGGATTGGCAGCTCATGGAGGGGCTGCTGGTGGTTGGAGCCTCCAGATTTGAAGCCATTTTGTTTTTTGTCAGAATGAAGCAGTGAGTTTGCATGAAGCGGATATAAAGTGGGAACATGGGAGGTGGTCAAAAAAAAGGGGGGAGGAGCAGTGTGTTCATGCGTGTTGGTGTCAGTGTTGTATGTGCAGTTGCCATTCATTATGCTGCATCTGATCTGCTTACACACTCCTTGAAACTCGAAGCTTAGCCAACGTGCCTTCACCAGATAGCCATACATCACGCTCTCGTGTCAGATTGACTTTTGCGACCTTGTGATTTATGGTATATTCTCACATCCCAAGGCCAAAAGCATGCCTTTGCTTGATATTTTTACTGCTTCAACTATTTCCCTCCTTAGAGGTATAGCAGTTCTTCCATTCAATGGCATATTTTGCAAGCAAAAATAAGATGTAATAGGGCTCTGATGACATCTCTTAATTCACTTGTGTGAAGTGCAAATGTTTCTATTTAGTAGTAGTAGTAGCATGTAGTTTCTAATTTAATTGTTAATTTTCACTTGCAGTATCAAGTTTTATATTTTTGTATGTTTATCCTACCAGGTTCAAGCTGATTTAAGATGCAGGAGTGAGAATGCCTTCAAGTTGGACATACATTAGTACTTCATGTACTGTATGCCAGACTTGAGTTATGTTAAATGGATCAGTTTCGTTGGCCTTTAACATTTTAAGCTGCACAAGTAGGTCAGCTGACCTTTGACAGGCGAATCATATTACATTGAATCACATGTTCTTAAGTGAAACGAATGACATATAATCATCTCAATTTGCAAAAGGTCAGGTGATACGTGATGTACCCTCAATGTGTCAGACTAAAATGTCTAACAGAGAGCCTAACTGTGATGACATGTCATTGATCATGTCTACACAAATTCCTGCTTACATTTCACATCTAAAGACAGAGATACACTTAAGAATGCGCCCATGCAACATAAATCAAAGACAAAACAGACAAAAACCTCACATACTGAAAGGGATACCTCTGAACATGGCTTCAAAGCTTTCTTCCACTGTCTCGTGCAGGTCATCATGTATAGACTTATCCATGTCTACACTGTTTATACGGGTGCTACTAAACATCATTGTGCAGCGGATTGCGTGCAACTTCCATTATCAGACCCGTAACCGCATCTGATTTGTCCAAACACGGGGGGCAGCAGGCTCTGACACACTGGCTGAGACAAGATGAAACGCATCACAAGTAGTATAGCAGCTGTCTGTGCATGTGTGTTTGCATTCATTTTCTGTAATGTTTATGTAAAGCTCTCCATTCCACATGCCTCTCTGTCTCCTCTCTTTCTCTGCTCCAATAATCTTGACAGCAGAATGTTACCTAATTGGACATGAAGAGTTTTAAGAACCATGAAGGTGATGACAATGGTGATATTTGGTAAAGTTAAAGGCTTCACTGAATTGCTCTTAAAAGTGGTTCACTATTTGCAGTGGACAGTTTTCCCTTTTGCCTGTGCAGCTCTGTCATCAGATTGCTCAGTTACAACAGCTGATTCAGGATTGTGCCGCTGAACATTAGTCACGTCGTGCCCAGTAAATAGATTTTGTGGCCTGAGTCCAAAGTGATGAAAGGGTGAAAGACTAGAATTCCCCTGTCTCCTCTTTTACCATCCCTCACATTCTCTTAAGTCAACATCAATTCACATATAGTCTGTAACAACTACTCACCCTCTCTGGAATATCGCTCCTCGTCCTGATTGCTGACATTGCTGCCAATAAACTAGAATACGAGGTCAGAGTTGGTTGTTGTTTTGCCACGTTTGTCTCAAGTGTTGACTGTCAACATGAAACGGTTTTATTGAGTGTACTACAGTGAAATGACGTGTGAGTAGAGGAAGAGGTGTGGAAACTGATAAAAAAAGAGGTGAGGATACACAGCAGCAACTGATAAAGATAACAGGTGAGTGTAAGACAAGAGCAGAGGAGAGAAATAAACAAGAGGAGAGAGGCTGATGAAAGAGAAATGGGAGGGAAGCTCTCCTGTCACCTAAACTCCAAGGAACACAAGTACATCTCAGGTAAGCCTGTAGAAATGGTGGTAAATATGTGTTTGTCTGTCAGTTATGTGAAGCTGTGTTTGCTGCCTCACATTGCACTGAATGTTCATCTTACCTTACACAAGCCTGCCAAAACTGAAAGATGTTATATATTTATATATATTATATTATATTCATGTATTGTGTCTTACACAACAATATGTAATCTTATCCGTAATATTCCACTCTCTTTGTACACCTTTCACTTAACCCTGTCTTTTGTCATTCATGCTCAATAGCAGAGAAAGACACTATTTACCAAACACCCACAAGGGCATGCAGATACGCACACACACACACACACACACACACAAACACACACACTTATTTATTAAGGTTTTTCCTTTAATGTTTCACCTGCACTTTACATACATACTGGTGCTAACTTCTTTCTGGGAACGAACAGAGCTCATCGCTGACATCATGGAGTCGTTGGCTCCTCTATGTCGACATCACCTCAGCTCAAATCTACTGACCCACATGAGGAACAAACACATAGAACCAACCGAACCCCGACCTCTGACCCAGCATCCAGTAAGAAAATCTAAAAGATTTCCTATTTTCATATTTATCTATACGTATGAAACTCTTCTACCCTGTGCCCCAGGATGTCGTTACACATGCTGAGATTGTGTTGGAGGTTACTTTGCCTCAATACCTAGATGGGAACTGGACACATCGCCACCTACAGGTCACCAACAGTTTTACAGTTGAGAGTCGTGAGTCCAGACAGGTACAGACGTAAAACCAGGACCCATCTGCTCACCGACCTACATCTGTTTTGTTTTTACTGGAGCCTGATCTGCACATTGTGTGTCCGTGTGTGTGGGGCTTTGGATGTGACCAGGTATTTGAAGGTGGTTGGGGGTATAAGACAGACTTGGTGCTTTCTGGCAGTCATATCTGCACCTCCCTACAAGAGCATCAGGAGTTAGTGGATGACATGTGCCGACATATCAAAGGTATGCTTTTAGACTGCAGCTGCTAGTTATTGTCTATAGATTGTACATTTTTTTCTATTTAATTTAAACAAACACACTTTAATATGCGTGTCTGTGCTTTTGTGTGTTTGCGCACTAAATCAGGTGGTAAACTGGCATGTTGGGATTGCCCCACAGCATTTCCTGTCTTCATCGAGCACCCTTACAGTGCCCCAGTGTGTCTGGCCACTGGATCATACCAGGAACAGACACAGTGGGCCAACGTACTACGAGCTGCAGCACAACATCAGAGCTCTGGTATAGTTCTCTATCACTGTTCCAAATCATGAGACTAAATATTCACACCCTTCAGTGTCTTTATTCTCCCTCCATCCATTCCCTTGATTGTGTATTGTCTGTTAGTACTCTGGTGTGAAGATACACCAGAATCCAGGGCCTTCTTAGATGCTGTATCTTCCTTGAGGAAGCTCAGAGGACACTGTCAAACAGAGATACAGCCAATGGGCGATGAGGAAGAGGTGAGTAGTCATCAGACAAGATGTCATCCTCTAAACCTCTATTCCTCCCATAAATCCTCATTCTCTCATTCCTCTGTCCATTTTAAACTATTTCTGTTTGCCTTGGGTCGGCTGTGGCTCAGGAGGTAGAGCGGATTGTCCACTAATCAGAAGGTAGGCAGCTCTTCCTGCTGCATGTCGTGTCCTTGAGCAAGATACTGAACCCTAAATTGCTCCTGATGCTATCCCATCAGCATATGAATGTCTCTTAGTATCTCTTTCTGATGAGCAGTTGGCACCTCGCATGGCAGCTGCTGCCATCAGTGTATGAATGGGTGTGTGAATGGGTGACTGTGACATGTTGTGTAAAGCGCTTTGAGCGGTTGAAAGACTATAAAGGCTATATAAGTACATTTAATATTCAATCATCTATGTACCAGTCATCAGACAAAAGGTCGTCTTTGTTTGCTGCCTTTTTCCCCTGATCATCTAAGCTTAATGACTCTCTTATAGCTCCCATCTTTCTACTTATTCTTCTTCTGTCCCTCTTTGTCCTTCAGGTGTTGGTAAGCATGGTGATGGAAGAAGTGATGCCCTACCTCAAGAAGCAAATATTTCACAGGATTGTTGTGCATCACAGTAGGAGGAGGAAAGACTGGATCAGAGTGAGTGAAAAGGTCAAATAAGATAAATGCAATATAGGCTTAAGCATATGGACAAATGCATCTTACATGTCTTTCTATTAACCTCTATTATACTGTATATGTATTTCTGTCAGTTGCTATCTGAGTGCTACAGGACAGCAAAATGTCAGGTAAAAGCTGCCATGGCTGCTCTGAAGCAGGACTTGTCACTGTATCGTTCTGGTGTGGAGAAAGCGATCTCTGCAGGGCTGCAACAGGCCAGTCTGCTGCAAGACCACATTGCTCACACCATCACAGGTGTGTGTTTGTGTGTTTTGGAATCAGAATTTGTAAAATGAGACAGTGATCTTCATCTGGATCCGTTTCTTTTCACCTTAGAGGACATGTGTGAGCAGATGCTAAAGTCTCTCCTACACACAATCGTCCCGAGGCTCGACCGCACTCTGCAGGAAGTGGCCACACCCACCTACAATGGATTTGCTTCTGCCCGGCAATATTTCCTGGAGACATGTGATGGCATTGTAGACCTGGGATCACAAAGCACATCAGTGAAAGATATCAAAAAGGTGCATTGGCATTGGTTATTTATTTAGTAAAAATGTCCTTGTTTGTCCAATGTTTCTGACCCCCTTTCCTTTACAAGATACTACTTTCCACAATTCAGCAATGAAATGTTTAAAATCAGTTGTTCCTGGACATCAGGACCCATCAGTGAGTAAAATCTGAGGGGTCAACATGATTAAAAAGATTTCATTTTATTTGAAATACCTGATATTTCTCAAGCTCTTTGGGCCTCTTAAATACTTCATATAAAAAAGGAAAAAAATCATCTTTGGTTGCAACGCATGATCATACTGAGACCACAATGTCTTTGATGAGATGTCACAAGTAGTATTGTTTCGTTTTAAACGTAATTTATGCAATCTCTGCTGCTAGGGGGATTGTCACATTAAATAGCAAAAGTTTGATGACATTGTGAAGTAGCGTGGGATCATGGGAGTTGCTGTCTTCCCCACCATTGCCATCATTGCAGTCAGATTCTCCTAGTTAGGATTCCTTCAGGGTTCATTGTTGAGGTGGGATTAAAACAGGTAGAAACACTGAATAAAGCAGTTTCATCCTAAAAATCTGTGTTTTTCTGACACTGTTAGGCAGGCAAAGGATGTCCTGGAGGGTCTGCCAGCTGAGCTGCTGATGTACGATGACTAAAATCCTTCATCCGATTGAAATATATAGTTAACAAACAACCAAGATCTAAAAGGTAAAATGTAAAAATGTGGCCAAAAACTGTATGAAAAGTTTATGACAGCTTCTGGCAGACAACACAGTGACATATGTGCTGAGGGGATATGATGCCATAGACAGGTGACCGCTGACAAGCTCTGTTACTGGATTAAAATTACAGATTTCTCTGTAACATTGTTGAAAATATTTGGGATAATATTATTACACCACTCAATAATTATATATTTTAATAAATATATAAATATTCTGGTCACAGGCCAACAATGTGTGGATCACTGTTCTAGATGGTAGCTAATAGCAGAAGGAAGATGTTTGATCAAAACTTCCCTCAAGCAACAGGGGAGGTGTTTTTATTCAGACCACTTTATCATTTGACTGGCAGCTATACCGTTGTATAATGGTGATGGAATGTGAAGTGTTTACGAGGCCTGAGGCACAACATATTTTAATGTCATGTTTCTCTTAATAATCATTAAGAGAAATGTCTGGAAACGTGTGTGAATACCTTAGGTCATCTATGGGATGGAATATGTTCAGCATTTTTACAGTAAATCTAAGGTTGTACGTAGAACTACACTCTAATGTGAGAGCCTGATGAATACTGTCAATGATTCACACACACAGCACTATACATAAGTGGTTTATATTTTAGCTGCTGATGCCTTTGAGTGGCCTCGGACCAGACGATGCCAGGGTGTGGCAGTGCCTCGACAGGCTGGAGTTGAGCTCAGAGGGGCGCATGTGGCTCCAGGAGACATGGGGAGTCCACAGTGGAGCCTGGAGACCCTTGGTACTCAAAGCTCAGAACGCTCTCTACAAAGTAATTTAACTAACATGTTTGTGTATCCAGTAAATTAAGGTAAAGAACAACCTTTTTTTTTTTTAAATGTACTATGTCGTCTCTCACATCCCTCCACTCTTCTTTCTTTTCCAGATGGTTGATATGTGTGCTGCGATGTTCTGGAAGTTGGTCTCTCGATATTCATGTTTCTCCTTCGACTCTTCCCAGCTCACAGCGGTGCTGTATAGGGTCAAAGATAAAGTGGTCAAGGTGTGTACCAGGGGGGGCTTGGGAAAAACACACTTGAACTACAAACCTAAATGTACGTCTGTCCCTGTCTCTGTCTCACACAGCACCTGGACACAGAACTGCTAGCTCTTCGGTCTCAGTTAGTTCTGGAGATGATCCTGCTGATAACACTGCCAGCATTTACTCATGGTGTGGGTGAGCAGGTACGGGGTCTTTACATCTTTATGTGTTTATCTTTTTTATTTTTGGTCTTCATTTTAATGGTAACTCCTCTTGATTTCAGGATCTGTCTCGTTACTATGCCATGGTTGACTCAGACCAGGCCCTCTTCATCCACCCTGACACCATCTTCCACTCCATCTTGAAAGACAACTTGACCTCTTATATCCAATCCGGTACAGTGTGTGATGGTTTTCCCATATAACCTTATGCCTTTTTAAAAAAAAAAATTGTACCATTCGTCTGCTACATTTTCAAGAACGTGGTGTCAGGGTTACAATTCTGCCAACAGCTGTGTGTGTATTGTTTCCCCTGCAGTGATGAGGTACTCCCTGCCACAGCAGTTCATGCCTCTCCCTATCACTCCCAGCAACCCCTGCAGCTCCAGCTGTAGTTTCTCTGAGCCAGTGTACCACAATCTGCTAACTCCTGATGCCTGCAGATTCCAGCACAACTTCTGCCAGACATCTGAAGGCTCTGCCTCAGGATCTGAAACACTCACACCAAGCACCATATCCGACCTGGATGACACTTTGGCCAACTCAGAAAGCCACACGCCCTCACTGCTTGATGCTGGAGAATACATCCATCTCACTGAACCATGAAGAAACTGTACAACAACACCATAACGTTTAGTATAGGTTATAACCTCAAACATAAAGTGCTTTGTATGTTCTGTCTTTATGATTGTTTCTGCAGTTTCTCACACATCCATGCTCCAGGCCTGCAGTAAGTTGAACACATGGACACGCCCATGTCGCTTCATACAGCTGGATCTGCTCTTAAAGGGGAGGACAGCACATTACGGAATAAAGCCTAATAGTCTACTAGGCCCCATACATACATGATACAAAAATGTATGTGTATTGCATAGAATTAACCTAACCCCAAACATGGCAGGATGTTATATAATTAGTTTCCAACTCGTACAGGAGGCACAGAAAGGTGGGCCTATGGCTGTCTTTTGAGAACACCTAGTTCCCCTTAATCCAGTCCAGACCTGCCCTTTAATTCATCTAGTTCCTCCGCCATGTATCCACTGTCGGCATAACACAACAGCGGGACCCTGAGCTTTCCACATTCTCCGTGCCCTTCTCTGTCCGCCGCGTCACCAGCGAGTTGCTCTCCCCTGCCATGCTCCGGGTCACCTCGCTGCTGCCCGCCCTGCTGTTCGTTCTCCTGCCGGGCCCGAGCCGGGGGTATTTCCCCGAGGAGCGCTGGAGCCCCGAGTCTCCGCTCCTCGCTCCCCGGGTCGTCATCGCGCTGGTCTGCCGCAACTCGGCGCACTCTCTGCCGCTGTTCCTCGGAACCATCGAGAGGCTCGACTATCCGAAGGACCGCATTGCGCTGTGGTGAGTGTCACCAGTTCTTAGTTAGAGGAATAACACGGGACGTCTCACTGTGTCATGTCAAAACTTTTAAAAGTGTTTTTTTTAGGTGTATTACAGTACGATAAAGTGTGAGTCAACGTCAGGGCGCACCAGAGACA